GCTGGAGGTCCGTGATTTGTGTCGCGCTGACCCGTGCTCAGTTTGAGGTGGGCCTGGAGGCGCATGCTGATGCGCTCGCAAGTCAGCGCAACGTCGGGGGACTCTGGCAGGCAGTGGCACGCTGGAGGTCCGTGATCTGTGTCGCGTTGACCCGTGCGCAGTTTGAGGTGGGCCTGGAGGTGCCTGCTGATGTGCTTGTAAGTCAGCACAACGTCGGGAGATTCAGGAAGGCAGTGGCACGCTGGAGGTCCGTGATTTGTGTCGCGTTGACCCTTACGCAGTTTGAGGTGGGCCTGGAGGCGCCTGCTGATGTGCTCGTAAGTCTGCGCAACGTGTGGAGACTCTGGAAGGCAGTGGCACGCTGGAGGTCCGTGATTTGTGTCGCGTCGACCCGTGCGCAGTTTGAGGTGGGCCTGGAGGCGCATGCTGATGCGCTCGTAAGTCAGCGAAACGTCGGGAGACTCTGGAAGGCAGTGGCACGCTGGAGGTCCGTGGTTTGTGTCGCGTTGACCCTTGCGCAGTTTGAGGTGGGCCTGGAGGTGCCTGCTGATGTGCTCGTAAGTCTGCGCAACGTCGGGAGACTCTGGAAGGCGGCGGCACGCTGGAGGTCCGTGATTTGTGTCGCGTTGACCCGTGCGCAGTTTGGGGTGGGCCTGGAGGTGCCTGCTGATGCGCTCGTAAGCCAGCACAACGTCGGGAGACTCTGGAAGGCGGCGGCACGCTGGAGGTCCGTGGTTTGTGTCGCGTTGACCCGTGCGCAGTTTGAGGTGGGCCTGCAGGCGCCTGCTGATGTGCTTGTAAGTCAGCACAGCGTCGGGAGATTCTGGAAGGCAGTGGCACGCTGGAGGTCCGTGATTTGTGTCGGGTTGACCCTTGCGCAGTTTGAGGTGGGCCTGGAGGCACCTGCTGATGCGCTCATAAGTCAGCACAACGTCGGGGGACTCTGGAAGGCAGTGGCGCGCTGGAGGTCCGTGATTTGTGTCGGGTTGACCCTTGCGCAGTTTGAGGTGGGCCTGGAGGCACCTGCTGATGCGCTCATAGGTCAGCACAACGTCGGGAGACTCTGGAAGGCAGTGGCGCGCTGGAGGTCCGTGATTTGTGTCGGGTTGACCCTTGCGCAGTTTGAGGTGGGCCTGGAGGCACCTGCTGATGTGCTCATAAGTCAGCACAACGTCGGGAGACTCTGGAAGGCAGTGGCGCGCTGGAGGTCCGTGATTTGTGTCGGGTTGACCCTTGCGCAGTTTGAGGTAGGCCTGGAGGTGCCTGCCGATATCCGTCCAGACTTCGCTCTTCTTCCTGATCGGGGCGGGGCTCCGCGCCTCGTGCTCGAGCGTGCGCGCCCGACCTCTCTGGCTGGCACCAGCCGTGCTTCCATGGCGTCCAGAGTCCTCTTTACCGCGGTCATGCTCTCGCCGCTGTCCCTCCTCCTCCTCCTCCTCCTCCTCCTCCTCCTCTTCCTCCTCCTCCTCCTCCTCTTCCTCCTCCTTCTCCTCCTCTTCCTCCGCCGCTCCCGGTGGCCCTGCTCCTCGTTGCTTCATGTCGGGACCTCCTGCTGCAGCGAAGCTTTGCCCCCGAGGCCTCGTCGGTTTCGCAGTTCATGAGCCCTTGGTGCCTCTTTCTGCCATGGTTCAGCAGCTCCTTGATGTGAAAGGAAAAGGCATAGTTTGATGTGACCTCGCGCGTGCTCGAAATATCTGGCTGCGAAGGGCTTCTTAGAAGCAGGCTGCTTCTTAGAAGCAGGCTGCTTCTTAGCAGGCTGCTTCTTAGAAGCAGCCTGTTCCTAAGAAGCCCTCCCCCCTCCCCCCACCCCCTTGTGCGCGCCGCCAATCTTGCCCTTTTTGCAGAAAAGTTCAGTCCGCCCCGCCGTGCGGCTGCGGAGTGTGGCCGTGGCGAGCCTCTGCTTCCGCCCGCCCTGCCCGTCCTGCCGGAGCGGCTTGCGGAGTCTTTGTTGTCTCCCTCTTCGTGCGTGCCCGGCTGTGCTTGTACAGCTCGCGTCTACTGCCAGCCACCGCTCGGCCGCATTAGGCATCTCGCTTCGTTGTCCCTCATTCCCTCCCTGGCGCTCTCTCCTCCTCACTCTTTCCTCTCGTCTCGCACGCGGCACTCTCGCTCATCCTTCAGGCCACGGTTCAATACATGTGCTTGCCTATCGCAGGTCGACTCGTGTGGTGTTCCCAGTTTGCCTGGCGACCTTGTGACTCGCACAGCGGTCGAGGCCGAGTCCGGTGACACTATGTGGGCGCGCTCCCTCCTTATTCTCCCTCTTCCGAAGCACAAGTCATAGTGAAGGCGATGGTACGTCGGTGTGCACACACAGCCTACGAGCCCGTAATTGATTCGTGTCTGTGCTGCAGAAAGTCTGTAGAGCCTTCAAGCCTCCTCCCGTAGGAGGACTGGCCGTCGTGCAAGCTGGCGCCCGGCTCGATATCTCGAATCGCATCTAGGTCCTGCTGTGCCTGCCGTGTCCACGGGTTTGTGGTTTCTGCCATTGTATCCTCAGGGTCGAACATCGTGTTTCCCTACATTACGGCCAAGCATTGAGCATTATCATCTTGATGCGAGACCGAACTTCGAAGCCAATAAGCCGCCGAGTCGTCGGCTCCAGGAAAAGAGGGGCCACACGGAGCTTATCGAGCGGCCTTCGGCCCATCCCGCCACGGTGCCTGGGCTGTGGGTTAGAAGCCTTTTGGATGTTCGTTTGGATATCGTGGGAGGCCTCTCGGGGGCCTCTTGGAGGCGGCTTTGGGGAGCCTCTTGTGGCATCTTTTTGGGCCTCTTGGAGGCCTCATGGATCCTGGGGCCCTCTTGGGGCGGAAGGCTCGGATTCTCGGGTCGCGCCTGCCCCCTGCCCTTTCGGAAGCGCCGATGCGGCCGACTGCTGTGGCCAGAGGTCTGCCAAGTTATTGGGCCATATGTTCCCCGAATCGGTCTTTACAGCCTTCGGGGAACACGTGGGGGAGGACGGGGAGGAGCCATCTTACCCGTCTTGAAGGCCATTTTGGCCGTCTTGGAGGCATCTTGGAGGCCATCTTGGGCCATCTTGGCCGTCTTGGAGGCCATCTTGGGCGTCTTGGAGGCCTCTTGGGCCGTCTTGAGGCCCTCTTGGGGCCTTCTTGGGGGCCTCTTGGGCCGTCATGGGGCCATCTTGGAGGCCTCTTGGGTGCTGTTGGGGCGATGTTGGGGACCTCATGGGCCGTCTGGGGCCGTCGGAGAGCTGAAAAGAAGAACATGCCAAAATCCTTCAAAAACCTAAGGAAAATCAATGATTTTAACCTATTCGGGCCTTCCTGGAGGGCGTCTTGGAGGGCTCTTGGGCCGTCTTGGAGGCCTTTTGCCGGCCTTTTGGGCCGTCTTAGACCATCTTGAGGCCATCTTGGACCGTCTTGGGTGCATCTTGGAGCCATCTTACCCGTCTTGGAGGCCATCTTGGCCGTCTTGGAGGCATCTTGGAGGCCATCTTGGGCCATCTTGGCCGTCTTGGAGGCCATCTTGGGCGTCTTGGAGGCCTCTTGGGCCGTCTTGAGGCCCTCTTGGGGCCTTCTTGGGGGCCTCTTGGGCCGTCATGGGGCCATCTTGGAGGCCTCTTGGGTGCTGTTGGGGCGATGTTGGGGACCTCTTGGGCCGTCTTGGGCCGTCGGAGAGCTGAAAAGAAGAACATGCCAAAATCCTTGAAAAACCTAAGGAAAATCAATGATTTTAACCTATTCGGGCCTTCCTGGAGGGCGTCTTGGAGGGCTCTTGGGCCGTCTTGGAGGCCTTTTGCGGGCCTTTTGGGCCGTCTTAGACCATCTTGAGGCCATCTTGGGCCGTCTTGGGTGCATCTTGGAGCCATCTTACCCGTCTTGGAGGCCATCTTGGCCGTCTTGGAAGCATCTTGGAGGCCATCTTGGGCCATCTTGGCCGTCTTGGAGGCCATCTTGGGCCAAGTTGGGGCAACAAAGGCATTGACAGATGGATTTTCGGAAACTTGCGGGTGGCCGGCGGGACGGGCCGAAGCCCACTGGGGAGTTCTTTTAGAAAAAGAACCAAAACCAAAACCTGAAACATCCAGCACGCCGTGCACCCCTGTGGCAAGACCACAGGGGGCGGCGGATCGAGCGGCCTTCGGCCCATCCCGCCACGGTGCCTGGGCTGTGGGTTAGAAGCCTTTTGGATGTTCGTTTGGATATCGTGGGAGGCCTCTCGGGGGCCTCTTGGAGGCGGCTTTGGGGAGCCTCTTGTGGCATCTTTTTGGGCCTCTTGGAGGCCTCATGGATCCTGGGGCCCTCTTGGGGCGGAAGGCTCGGATTCTCGGGTCGCGCTCCCCCTCTTGAGCTTTTCTTGGGGCCGTTTTGGAGCCCTCTTGGGCGATCTTGGGCGCCTCTTGGGCCGTTTTGGGGCCCTCTTGGACCGTCTTGGGCCCCTCTTGGGGGCCTCTTGTTCCGTCTTGCAGCGGTTTGAAAACCTCTGGGGCCATCTTGGAGCGTCGGAAGCCCGAACACGCGAGAACACGCAAGCATAGAACATCACAGTAAAAATCAATACTTGTTGCCTCGTTGAGTCCTCTTGGTGGTCCTCTTGGAGCGCTCTTGGGGCTTCTTTGGGGCCTCTCGGGACGTCTTGGGGCCATCTTGGGCGTCTTCTTGGAGGCCTCTTGTGCCCCCTTGGGCGCTTTCTGGGGTCTTCTTTGCCCGTCTTGGGGGCCCTCTGGCCTCTGGAGAAGTCCTGCGGGGCAGCCCGAGCACGCGCAGGAACGCCCAGGAGATTTTAGGATTTGGGGCCACAGCCCTGCGAGTACTATGATACCAGAGCCTTGAGCACAGAGAACAGAGAACACCTGAGAGCCTGGGGGGAACTCCTCTTCGTGCCTCGAGGCACGAAGTGGCAGACGAAGCACCCCAGCGGTGGCCGCAGCCGACCCAAAATACTTCCCGCCGCGATGCTGCCAGGGCGCGAGGGAGGGAGGTCTGGGCGTGGCGACGGCGGCGGCGGCGGCGCCGGCTCCCCAAAAACGGCGGCAGGAGGCCGCCCCGACGCTCGCCGCTTGGGCGACCTGGGCGCTGGGCGACCTGCCGGCGCGCGGCGGCGCCAACGGCACCGCCGCCGCCGCCGCGGCGCGGCCCGCGGGCAGCGGCCTGCAGGCCAAGCGGCCCCCGCGGGCGGGCGGCGGGCGGGCGGCGGCGCGGCTGCCGCGACGCCCCGCCGCCGCCCGGTGCGGTCGGCGGCCTCTCGGCGGCGGCGGCCTCGGCGGCGGCGGCGTTGACGTCGGCGGCGGCGGCGTTGACGTCGGCGGCTGCGACACGGGCGGCCACGGCGGCGCGGCTGCGGCCAAGGCGGCCTCGCGGCGGCCTCGGCGCCGCGGCCAAGGCGGCGGGGCCTCGGCCGCGGCCCGCGGGCCTCGTCCACAGGCGCTCTCGCTGCTGGCCGCGCTCGTCAGCGACCCGCTGCCCGCGCTCGGGGAGGAGAACTCCCTCGAGCGCGGCGCGGGGCAGCGGGCGACGTCGTCGTCGTTGTCGTCGTCGCCGCCGCCGCCGCTCGACGTCGACGGAGTCGTCGTCGTCGTCGTCGTCGCCGCCGCCGCCGCCACCGCCGTCGTCGTCGTCGTCGTCGTCGTCGTCGTCGTCGTCGTCGTCGTCCTCGTCGTCGTTGTCGTCGTCGTCGACCTCGTCCTCGTCCTGGTCCTCGTCCTCGTCCTCGTCCTCGTCGTCGTCCTCGTCGTCGGCGGAGTCGCTGACGTCGACTGCCGGCATCGTCGGCGTCCGCGCCGTCGTCGTCGTCGACGGAGTCGAAGCCGTCGTCGCCAGCAGCGTCGTTGTCGACGCAAGCGACGGCAGTCGGAGTTGGACTTGTTTGTTGGGGTGGTCGAGGAGGAGGAGGTGAGGAGGAGGAGAAGGAGGAGGATGAGGAGGACGAGGAAAGGACGAGGGGCAGGAGGGGGAAGTAGGAGGAGAACGGAGGAGCGCGTGCAGATCGTGTTCATCCTCGTCCCCTCTCATCCTCTGTCCTTCCTCCCCCCTCCCTCGCTCTCTCCAGCCGCATCGTCCACTACGTCCCCTCTCATCATCCCCTTCCCTTCTCTCCCTCCCCGCGGTTGAGGAGGAGGAAGAGGAGGGCGTGGACAGGGACGAGGAGGACGAGGACGAGGGGAAGGGAGAGCACGAGGAGGGGGGTGCACGAGAAGGAGGAGGAGGAGGAGGAGGAGGAGGAGGAGCACGATAAGGAGGAGGAAGACGACGCCGACGACGACGACCACCACCACTTCCACGACCACGACCCCACGACCACGACCGCGCCAGTGACGACCAAGACAGACCACGACGACGGCCGCGACGACGACGAGCACGACGGCGGCCGGTGGCGACGCCGACGAAAGCCAACAGGACAGCGACGAAGACGCCCCGGCGGCGAGGCGTACGCTCTCCCGGCGCCTCGCCCATCTCCCCTCAGATCCAGGCGTTGCTCGGGGATGGAAAAGAGGGGTGATGACTAGGGGGGGTGGATATCATGGCCGGGGCCATGAGATCTCCCCAGATTTCATGGCGCCTCTTCTTATTTCATCACGTCCCTGGCCCCCCCGCTGGGCCGTGCACGTGCCGCCAGTCATGGTTTGCACCCCCTCTCTTGGACATCCCCCTCTTTGCCGCTCCCGAGTTGCAATTTTGTCACACAAGACGCTTTCGCTGGAGCTGGGGCCCCCGGGCCCTCACAGACCGACGCGGCTCGGAAAGGGCGCATGCCGATGGGGTCCAGGACGATGCTGTGATTTCTCCTGCGACGCTGCGTGTCTGTCCGCAGCGCCGGCTCTCAGAGGTCCCATGGGTCCCTCCTTCTCCCTGTCGTCCTGTTCCTCCTCCCTCTCCTCCTCCTCATCCTCCTCCTCCTCCTCCTCCTCCTCCTCCTCCTCCTCCTCCTCCGCGAGTCGATGGCGAGAAGGCGCGAAGTCGGCATGAGCAGGTATATAACATCGGACGAGTTTTCTCCTGTCGGCGCTGGACTCCCTTGACGGCGCATCCAGCGCCGCCGCTGGCGCCACAGGAAATCTGCGCGAACCTCCGTCCGTAGCCATTGTGGCTCGAGCATTTTCTGGGCGGCGAGCGAGGGGGGGAAGTGAGAAGGAGAAGGCCTTCTCAGAAGGCGGCTGGACTTCTCAGAAGCCCTCGCGCCTCCTGAGCTGTTTTTTTGTGTCTGTCTCCGGGGAAGGCTCAGAGCACTTCTCAGAAGGCCAGGGGGATTCCGAGCCTTCTGAGAAGGCGCGCCCCTCTTACGGGGCCCGAGAATATTCACCACCGCCCCCTCCCTCACCCCCTCCCTCCCCGTGAAGGAGGCGAGGAAGAGGAGGGTGGAGGAGGAAGGGGGGATGGAGGTGGTGGTGGTGGTGCACATTCTCGGGACCCGCACTTCTGCCCCCCCCCCAGGCTTGCCGCCGAATCTTGGCCCAAGGCTCACGGCGAGGAACGGCACCCTTCTCCGCAGCTGCCGCCGCGCTCTCCACGCGCCGACGGGTGCCGCCGCCAAAGCCCAGGGAGCGCCAGAGGCGGACACGGGTCCCCGAGCGAAAGGGCCCCGAGCGAACCCGCGCCATGGCCCGGGCCTTCCAGATGGGGTCGGAGCAGTGTCAGTTCATGGTTCACGAATGATGCCCCCCCCCTCCCGGGGCTGATGGATATACCCCGCGGGGCGACTTAGATATATATATATATATATAGAGAGAGAGAGAGAGAGAGAGAGAGAGAGAGAGAGAGAGAGAGAGAGAGAGATCACGCGCGCCAGGGCCCGGAGAGCTCGGGGAACCACCGCGCCGCAGAGGATGGCAGACGGCGGCGTGAAAACGAGGAGGCGACCGACGGCGACCTCCCGGGGTCCAGGGCCCGCATCGTTCACGGGCACGCTTCCGCCGTGGCGAAGGAAGAAGCTCTGGCTGGGTCGACGGCGAGATCGGGCGGTGGAGGCGGGCGGAGGCGGGGCCGGGGGCGGCGACGACGACGACGGCGACGGTGAGGGCGAGGACGAACAAAATCAGCGACGACGGCGGCGGCGGCGGCGGAGGTGACAACGGCCACGACAGAGGGGGGGAGGAGGACTGCCCACCCTGCTTGGGTCGGACGACAGGCTGGGGAAGGAAAGGGTGGGTTGCGAAACCTGCTGCGCGCAGCTGGTTTCCGTCGTCCCGCCGAGGGGCCAGTCCTCGAGCGCACGGCCCTTTCGGCGCCAGGGGGCGCATGGAACATCAGCAACGCGAGCCGGTTGACAAATCCCCGCTTGGCCACGCCCCACATTCGTGCAGCCCGCCTCGCTCGCGGGCCTGCGAGGCCGCCGGCGCTCCCCTGGCTGCGGCCAGGGCAGAAGAAGCGCATCGGCTCGACAGAGAAGAGCACGGAAAGTGCGGGGGGCGCCCAGGCTCACGGCCCTTGCTTCTGCCGCCCTTGCTTCCCACCCCCCCTCCTACCCCAGTCTGTGCTGTTTCTGTCGCCTTCTCGCTGGCGGCTGGGCGTCGGCGCGAATCGCCAATCATCGGCGCCGCCGCTGTCGTTTTTCAATACGGCAGGCGCCACCCCGCGATTCGCCCGAGCAGGGAAACATTGTTGTTTCGAACACGCGCCTCCCACGGATGTGTTAATCATACGCTGACATTAAATGGGGTCGGAGGTTCTTGCCGCGTCGCCGCTGCAGCGTCGATGCGGTTCGATGTGAAACCCGAATTGATACACGTCGACGTCGCCGATGCCGACGTCGACGACGCATCGCTTGTGCATCGCCGATGCACCGTCGATGTATCGGCGATGCGGCGCGATCCCACGACTCCATTTTCTCCGACCCCATGTTGGAGGCCTCTTCATGGTTACAGCGGACCGCGGTTTGCATGTCGGACACTGGCGCCCACTCTGGATGGGCGCGTCGAGTCCTCAACACTTTTTTTTCTTTCACTCGGGGTCTTTAGGTCCAGCCGCCAAGCGGGAAGACCCGATTTGCGGAAGTGCGCGCCCGCGCGCGTTGGATCTATCTCAAAGTAATCAAGGCCACCGTGAGTGTGGTCAGCCGAGTGATGTTGGCTCTGTGGCCGTGGTGGAGGTTCCGAGTCTGATGGTTGGCATCCGGCGCAGTCCCCATGCCACTGTGGACCACCTCGCACTCCACAGAGATTGTCCGCCGGATATCATGCCGAAGGTTGCGGGGACTACGGCGATCCTTCGCGTTGCCATCGCCATTATATGGTGCACGACGCGGCACGGACATGGGCCTGTGGACCAGGAGGAGTCCAAAGGCCTCCAAAATGACAATGAGCTTCCCCGACACGCGGCGGGGCCCACTGCCCACCGCGATATAGGAGGCGTGGCACCTGAGCATCCCAGAAGGGAACCGTAAAGGACGGGGTCATTCCAGGGTTCGTGCCCAGATTGTGGGGGTGCCTGAGGCGACTTGCTTGCTTTTGCCACCCAGACTTCTCCTTTGGTGGTCCAGTGTTCACCGCGATATAGGAGGCGTGGCACTTGGCCCCCCCAAGGGGGAGCCGCCAAAGGCGAAGACACCCCAGGATTCGCGCCCAGATTGCGGGGATGATGTGGGCATGATGAAGCGACTTGCCTGCTTGCCCCCCAGACATTCCTCGCTTGGCGGTCCAATGTTCACCGCGGTATAGCAGGCGTGACACTTGGGCACCACACGGGGGAGCCGCCATGGGGCTAAGAACACTCCAGGTTGTGCGCCCAGGTTGTGGGGATGTCTCAGGCGGTTTGCTTGTTTCTGCCCAGCTGATTTCTCTGTGGGGTTGCGTGCTCCTCATTCACTCACGCACCCACTCACTCACCCACCGCCTTGCCCCTTTTCCACATGTGAACGCACTCAATCGCACCTGGACTTTCTCAACGACAATTCTTCCTCGCTCAGACCCACGCACGCATCACATTCGGACTCACTCATTCCCCGATTAGATCACATTCCGATTCACTCATACTGTTTCGCTCATACTCCGAGTCACTCAAACTCAGACTCATTCACACCCAGACCGACTCAGACTCATATTCACTCACACTCGGACTCGCCCACCCTCAGACTCACCCATACTCAGATCGCCTCGCACAGACTCACCCACATTCAGACTCACTCGCACTTAGACCCACTCGTGCTAAGACTCGATCGCACTCAGACTCACTCATACTCAGACCGACCCGTACTCAGTTTGATTTTGTCCAGACTCACTCACACTCAGGCTCAATCGCCCGCGGTTCCATTCACACCCCTACTCACTCACACTCAGATCACCCACGCTCAGATTCACTCGCACGAAAGCCCTCACACAAGTGGACCCGTGATATAGTCGGCGTGGCCCTTGAGCACCCCGAGTGCCAGCAGGCGCCGCGAGTGGCACGCCGGAGGGCGGGCGTAGCAACGCCATGCGTGCTTGCCCGAGTTGCCGTGGAGAGTACGGCCAGAGGAAGGCCCTTTTGCTCTTCCACGTGTGCTTCCCTCGTCTCGCCTGGAACATCGCCAGAGCAGGAGGACGTCACTGGAGTCATCGCTGGTGTTGTCGGTGCCGCGCCTGTCGTCTACGCGGACTCGATTTCACACCCCACATTATCATAGACAGAGCTCCTCAGCCAGATGTGACAGGATAAGGAGATGCACATATGGGGATCTCTGCGTCGAGCAACTGTTCTGAGGTCACCTACATCCATCATCAGCCAGTTGGCACGCATTTGGTGAGCCAGTGGAGCGTAGATGGCGTCTCCACGTTGCTCGCGTTTACATGCTCGGCGCGTTTGGCGCGGCCGGCGGTTGGCGCGCATTTGGCGCGTCGATTGCTTCGCCGTCCAGTGACCGACGTGCTCCCTGTTTGGCAGAAGTTTCGGCGTGGAGAAAAAGTCCGTGCGGACCTCCGAAATCTCTTTTGGCGAGGTTGCTCCTGCTCTTGATCGCGAGGGCAAGCCTCCTCCTCCTCGGGGGCCTCCCTCCTCCCGCTCCTCGTCCCCCCTCCTCTCGGGTCGGACGGAGGCGTGTTCCCAGGCTACAAGAGAGCAGCGGCTCCTGTTTGGAGGCTGCCGCCCGTCGCATTCTTCGCCCAGAGTGCGGACTGCAGATTGTGGCGCCCAGGATACAGTCAACCCGCATAGTAAGGACGGGCAGCCTTCCCAAGGGTACCCTTGCAGCCTTGCCTCCTCGGCCCATCCCTGACCACTTTCATTGGCCGCGACCCGCTCGCAAAGCTTCGAAATTAACGCCCAAGGCCCTTGCGTCCTTCTCGCGCATCCTTACTCTACGGGCTGACTGCTCTCCAGGATACAGTCGGGGCCCTGGAGAAGGAACCCTTTTCGTTGGGGAGGGGCTCCGCGTTCCTTAAATGTTTCGCAGATTGCCTTAGGTTTTCCTTGGGTTTTCGATACGAAATCGAAGTTCAACTTCTGGAAAAGAGGGGCCTCGTGCCTTATTTTGGGTTCATTTGGTCAAGCCCCCGACTGTACTCTCGGGTCGGACGGCACGGTGGGGGGGGCTGGGCAGCGGAGGTGCGCGAAGCCATGCTGCGTGCCGCCGGGTTCGGGACACCCGCCGCTTGGGCGCACGTTCTGCGACGCGCGGGCGCGCCTCCGACGCCCGGGCGCCCCGGGAGAAAGCAGCTGCGCGCGCGGCGGCTCCCTTGTGCCTCCACCCTTAGTGGGCCCTGGAGACGACAGGGCCGTGTTCTTACCGGTTCCGTTTTGCCGTCTTTTTACCGGTTCGGACGCCGTTTTTTTACCGGTTCCGTCGCCGTTTTGTGACCGGTTCTGGCTCTGGTTCCAATCCTGGAGCCGTTTTTTTTGCCGTTTCCGGTTGCTGTTTTTTTGCCTTTTCCGTTTTCAAGGGGCATTTTTTTAGAAACGGTAAAAAAAGGGCCCTGCCGTTTCCGGGGCCCACAAAGCCCCCACCCCTTCCCTCCTAGTCCTCCTACATGGGGTCCGAGTAGATGTGGTCGGAGGAGCGCGCCGCATCGTCGATGCATCGGCGATGCGGCTCCATGTGGAGCCCGATGTTCTCCACGCTGGCGTCGCCGGCGCATCGCCGACGTCGCCGATGCATTGCCGATGCATCGGCGATGAATCGGCGATGCGGCGCGATCCTCCGACCCCACCTACTCCGATCCCATCTGGGAGGCCTCTATTTCTAGACCCCCGACGTCGTGTTTTTCTGTTCGTTGCGTGGGCCCCGGAGGTCTGGGCCCCTTCCCTGGGGCTCGTCTGTTCCGAGGCCTCCCAGATGGGGTCCGAGTAGATCTGGCCGAAGGGTTGCCCCGCATCGCCGATGCATCGTCCATGCGGGTCGATGCGAATCCCGTTCTGCTTCACGTCGACCTCGCCGATGCACCGCCGATGCATCGCCGATATCTCGGCCATGCGGCGCGATCCCCGACCCCACCTACTCCGACCCCATCTGGGAGGCCTCGATCTCTTGGTATCGTTCGGACGTGTGCAGTTTTTCTCGGCGAGGACCATCGAGGACCATCCTGGACCATCGAGCAAAAAAACACGCACGAAACCGAAACATGCACGGGAAATGGACGTCCGAGCGACAGCAAGATTTGTGTTTCACGCCCAATCGTTGTTTGAGGGTCCCGGGGCCCGGCGGCGGCGCCCGGGGGCCGAGAGCTGCCAGCAAATCCCCAGCATGATTTTGTCCACGACGTCTGGCTTTGCTGTCCGCACTTCTTTCCGCCACGACCCCTTCTCATCCCCCCCTGCTCGGAGGGGGGGAAAGACACCGACACCGAGGTGCCCCTCCCAGCTTCCTGGGAGGGCGAAGGGGCAGGCGAGAGGAGGTAATGAGACCAGATGGGCGTACGTAAGGGAACGGAGGAGCAGGAAGAG